CGATCCAAAAAATAAAACATGTTTTATGATCTTCCGAAACAGAGCTTTCATTATGTATTTACATATTTTGGATCAGAGGTTGTGCTCTACATGTAATATTGAAAAAAATGCTTCAATTTTAGGTCATTTTCAAAGGAATTTACAGGATATGAGGAAAATTACGCATTTTATGACGTCATAATGCATTGACTTGATAGGGAATTACGTCTTAATTAATAGATACGTGGTCACCAACACTCAAAGTGATAAATTCTGCATTTGCAACCTAAACTGAGCGATTTTGATTTTTCAGAAATGTCCAGGGCCAAATAAGGCCCAAAGTGGCTCTTTCTCGGCACTTACGGCCTTTGAGCAGGGAGGGATCTTTATCGTGCCACACCTGCTGTGACACGGGGCCTCGGTTTATACGGTCTCATCCGAAGGACCACCCTAATTAGTCGCCTTTTACGACAAGCAAGGGGGTACTGAGGACCTATTCTAACCCGGATCCCCACGGGGATATAGAACTTCAAAGTGATGACTTTAATCGAGATTGCTTGATATTCTTGTTTCAGCAATTAGGAGCAGAGCAAACACTGACCCCTTTAACATCAGAGATTTCGTCAGGTGCCATGGAGGAGAATTCCCTGCCGACAGGTCACCTCTGCGTTGTGCTTCTTGTCATGATCGGGAAATAATGGGAAAATCCGTCGACAATTCAATGAGTAAATGATAACCTTAAAAATAGGTATGATCAACCTAATTCAGGGAATTCATGCCCCCGTTGAGGGAAAAAAGAAGAGCTCGCACAGTAAGGTGGGTGCGGATCCCCCTGAATTTGTAGAATTATTAAATGTATGCATGCATATTGAAGCAAATAAAAAAATGCCAATATGGATATAAGATATGATTGCTCATTCTTTATCATGTGCATAGAATATTCTTTTTATATAGAATATTTTTCACACTATAATAATGATTGCATGAGTTTGTACAAGCCAGACGTAATATCTTTTTTCATTTCACATGCTGAATTTTCATTTCATCAGGATTCGAACCGGGGACGTCTCACATGTTAAGGGAAAGTCTTTTTTTATTCTTTTCTTTTTTATACGAGATTCATAACCCTACACCACGAAGCCACTTGCTTCTTTCGTAGATTATATGCAAACACATACATGTATATATATATTCTCGTTCGATACTGTCAAAATTTAACACAATACATGGTGTCTAAATTACCGTTTACTAAACATGTCTAATAGTTGTAATAAGATTATAAAGTACGCCGACAACCTTTATTATATGTTACAACTCTCCACACGCCCCAGTGCTAAAAATAGTGCCAAGCGACATTTAATGCATTGAATACTAATAAAACAAACATAGTGGGACATTTGATAAGGGTAAGAGAAGCCCTAGGGAGTTTTGTATAAAACTTCATTGCAAAAGCTAAAAATCTTCTTGAGATATTGCCAGGAAACGAACGTTTTACACACAGAGTAGAGAATGTATAAATTTACTACCTTGAACTTTGACCTTTTCCTGACGGACGGACGATCAGAACGACCCAAATTAATACCCCCCCCCCCCCCCGCATTTCAGTGAAAGCGAGGGACAATTATATCAGTGAGCATTTGATCATTTGATAGACTGTATTTTTAACTAGTTATTATCCATAGAGTAAAGATATCAAAATTACAATTATTACAGTCTGTGTAGAGCTGCTGAAATGTAAAGAAACAAATTACATGTATCTCCTTTTTGAATAATTTTATTTAAACAACAATATGCAACTTTATTGATTAAATTTCAAATGAAATGGATGTACATGTATTAATGATTGATTGTATATTGTTTAAGTCCCTAATATGGAGACGCCACCACTTGCCTGTTAAGAGCTACGAATTTTGTCCTATATTCGGGACTCAAGGCCATTGAGCAATGAAGGATCTTTTTCGTGCCATGAGGTTTTTACAAGAATGTTGTTTATAGATTATGTCTAGATAAAATTAGAAAAGTGGTATATGTAGGGGACTAGTTTTTCTAATGCAATATTCCCAAAGTACGTGTTCAATTTAGAGTGTAACAATTAATTAAATATACAATATACTTAATAAGAAATTCACTTACTGACTTATCGCGAGACATATCGGTATATAATTTTAATATGATTAAATAAAAGTTCCTCATTTTATTTTAGCATTCTTTCATGCTAATCAGATTATTCTGACGTGAAATAATAAAATATGATTGTATTTTCATGAAACATTGATTTCATATTTTTTCTATCGATTTATTGATTTTCACAAAATTTGATTTTGTTACGATCTTCATTTGTCGTAATAATAAATTGGTTGCATTGATATATTTTTTCGTCCGTTTGGGTTGGGTATATACTGTATACATTGCTAATTTCGCCCCGTGTTATCTTTGCCCTTTCCCACTTGCAAACAATTTTCGGAAATTTTAAATTTGCCCAGAACATAGTTTTGTTTAAAAACTTCAGCTGTATTCTTTGCAATGGTCCCGTTTTAAATGAAGGTAGGGCGAAAGGGGCGAAAGTTTCCCTGTATATTATATATTCTCGTTTCTATTTAGTTATTTAAGCCCTGTATTGATTAAAGAAATAAGATATCATTTTTATTGATTCATTGCGGTATTACATGAAGTTGGTTACGAGATCAAAAAAGGCACTAAAGTAGATCTGATCAGCGGCCACGCGATTTATAAAGCGTAAACTGTCCTAAGTTATGTTAAACAATAAAATGCTTTCTTTGTTTGTTAGTAGGCTCTAAATCGCTCTTGTGAAATATTTCTCTTGTAAAAGTCATAGGTCAATATGAACACAAGAGCGAATTTAGAGCCAGTACTGGAATTACAATGTAACGGAAGCAGCTGTTGCAGAAAAAATACATATGTAAATTTTTTCTGCAACAGTTGCGACCGTTAATTCCAGTAATTACAAAGAAATAAAGACATTTTATTGTTTTTATTTATATCTGTTTAAATAATCATTTAAAGTAGGATTAAACAGATTTATTATTGTGTTAAGATGCGAACATCTTTATACGTTTCATTGATGGAACATCCACTGATCAAGAAATCTGTACAAGCGACATGACTACTGTAGTTCATGTAGTTCATGCAGTGATTAACACAATGGGTTTTCTTAAGAAATAAAGGAAAAAATATTCAGTGGATGTAAATATTTATATCGTGAAACACGAGTTGAAATGCGCTTCATTCCTTAAACAGTTTGATTGATAGATTGATTGATTGATTGATTGATTGATTGATTGATTGATTGATTGATTGAATGTATATTGTTTAACATGTACACCCCTGTTGAGAATTTTTCACTGATATGGAGACGTCACCTTATGCCGGTGAAGGACTTTAAATCTAGACATATACTCGGCACTCAGGGCAATTGAGCAGTGAGGGTTCTTTATCGTGCCAGCGCCTATCGCGACAGGGGACCTACGTTTTTAAGGTCATATCCGAAAGACCTGACTTTCACTTCTAGTGCCGAGCGCTTGGCGAAAGAAAAGTGACTACGTATGTTTACATCTTAAGTATGACGCGCCGCCGCGAACGAGAATCGAACCCGAGCCTCCCGATCACAAAGTGAACGCTCTACCACTAGGCTTCCGTGACCGGTTTTATTAGTTTGAAGATGCCGTTATGGGAGATATATTGTTTTCTATACTTAATGATTGAAAATTTAATTATACAGAAATAATTAAACAGCAATCCATGTTATACTGTTATAACCTAGGTAAGAGCAGTTTACGCATTTTTATAAACCGCTTCGCGGGTTGTTATTAATTCATTTCTCAAACAGAAATTACTTAGACTTTGCTTTGGAAATGCAACATAATATATCATCTACGTCATGTGACGTCATAAACGGAACTTTCCAAATGCTCGTGCCGTTTGTTTTCCTTGGGCAACAAAAACTGATCATGTGACCAACTGTATGTCATTGAAAATTGAATTTTAATTTATTTAGCATTGTTATATAAGGAAATACATCAGCAAATGTAAATTTTTCATGGAATTTGTGCATTTATTTGACTGATTTGCAATTGCACATAATTATTGTGGTGTAAGGAATGGCTGTTAGTAGAGGAATGCAGGTGTAATGACGAAACGTGTACCCGTAGAATATTGACCGGGGATCATTTTCCACGTAAAAACTTGATCCCCTGGTCAATGTTCTACGTAAAAAAATTTTTAAGTATAAATTATGCCTTAAGGGACATTTTTGGAAAAAAGAATAATGGCCAAGCGTCCTCTTCTGATACTGAAAGCTGGTTTTGGTTCACGTTGTTTAAAGCGTGAAGACTTAAGAATTATAGAAAGTCCATGTACACATCCGAGAAAAAAAATACATACAGACTCTAAAGATGACATCAAAAAGCTGCTTGAGTTTCTTATTGACAATATTTATGTGGGTTTTGGAGACCAGGTCTTCCAACAATCTATTGGAATCCCCAGGAGTACCAATTGCGCTCCATTATTAGCAGATCTATATTTGCATTCTTCGACATTTAGATATAGCAACGACGTTTTGTCAATTAGCAATGGTAATTTCCATTCCTAATTCAATACGATATGTCCTGTTGAGCTTGATATGAAAGATACCACAGAGTCTGACACATCTGTTTCATATTTGGATATTTTACTTGAAAAAGACGTTAATGGTGATCTAGCCACCGGGCTCTGTGATAAACGTGATGACTAACTTTTCTATCGTCAACTTTCCTTACTTATGCAGCGATGTGCCTGCGTCGCCTGCGTGTGAAGTTTGTATCTATCAATCGGTTTGGTGCACGGGGTAGTGCTCTGCGTGCGGGCGGTTTTTGAAACGATGTAAATCATTGAAAAACGGGTTGATGAAACAAGAGTGCGGACGTTCTCGTTTCACGTTCTCGTCATCATTTCGTGAGTTCTATGGCCGATGCAATGGCCTTGTCGGCAAATGCAGTTTGTCATTGATACGGATGCGGGCTGACCTTATTCACACTGGCTGTAAGTCCATTGTTTATAGACCCTGGGTTGACGACGGGTTTTCCCATTATTTCCCGATGGTGACAAGGAGCGCACGGCAGATGTGACTGTTCGACAGGGTATGCTCGCTCCTCCATTGCACCTGATCCCACCTCTGATGTTTTAGAGGTCCGTGTTTCTCTGCTCCTATTTTGTATTGTTTTATTAAATATTGTTCGTTATCTCCATACCCTTCATTGCGTATGATGCTAAAATGCATGTAAAAAACGTCGAATGACATCATATATTGTGAATGTGTTAAGCCTGTGATATATACATTATGACGTCATAATTAAGAGCAAGAGCCACTAAGGGTCTTTTTGGTCCTGAGAATTTCTGAAAAATCTAAGCTGCTCAAATTAAGTTAAAAATGCAGTATTTATCACTTAAACTGTTTATGACCATGTATTGAACATGAAGCAATTTTCCCTTTAGTCAATGCATTATGACATCACAAAAAGCGTCATTTCCCCATATCCCTTGAAAATGGTCCCATATCGCTTGAAAATGGTTTTAACTTGAAGCAATTCTTCAATATTTCATTTAGAGCACAACCTCTGTTCCAAAATATGCAATTGCATAATGTAAGATCTATTTCTAAAGATTAAAAAGTATGTTTTAATGTTTGGATCGTGGACTGTGCTGATATCTTAATTATTTGCTGTAGGTAGTCAGATACACATGTTTCTGAAAAATTCAAAAACATTTCATTTTCCCAAAGCCTGTTTTCTAACACACAGATTCTAAAAAAGAAATTTTAATTTAGGAAATGAAAGCACTATGTCTCTACTTTATTTTGATATATGAAATGGGAAAGAGGGCGATAAATTATTAAAGGAATGGAGCTTACTTTAACTTATATTTTACGATATAACATAACTTGGGGCAGTTTAAGCAGGTTAATAAAAAACGTAAACTGCCCCAAGTTGTATTATATCGTATAATTAAAGTTGAAATAAGCTTCAGTCTTTATCATTTAATTTCAGAGCAGACAATAAGACAATTTTCCCCCCAGAAAAGGCTTCAAATTGAAACATTCAAATTGGGCAATTTACGCTTTATAAACCGCGAAGCGGTTTATAAAAAAGCGTAAACTGTTCCAACCCAGTTTATACCGTATATTATTAAATGATAAGGAATTTTGGTGCTCTCTGATTGGTCTAGACGCAATTTACTGGTGTGTACATCAGAGTGAGTTCACCTCAAGTGACGTTCTGGGAGGTTTATTCGGGTTTTCCCTCTCGACCAACCATAGATTTGCTTACAGCTTTTTCGACTAATCAGATTGCGTGTTTCAAAGCATGTGTCGGTGTGAATGTAAACATGTCAGACGCCATTACCAAGGAGAAAACGAACATTTGAAAGTAAATGGTTGAGTATTTATTGTTTATTAATATTGTTTTTAGCTTTTTAACTAATATTTGTTTAGCTGTTGATGTATATCAACATGTAAAAAGTGTAATTACACTTTACATTATGGATGTTTATATTTGATGGAGACAAGAAGGAAAGAGTCAGCAGTGTTGTAAAATTCCTCATCATCTAATAAAACGGTTATTGACTTTTGAATTCGGTCTACTCGTGACTATACATACCTGGTCAGGTATTGGTTAACCTCGGCCTTCGGCCTCGGTCAACCAATACCTGACCAGGTCTGTATAGTCACGAGTAGACCTCATCAAAAGTCAATAATTGTATAAAATGGGTAGCTTTTAAATTCATTGATTATAATTTAATTTTCATTCATTTGATGTAAGATTGACTGATTGATTGTATATTGTTTAACGTCCCTCTTGAGAATTTTTCACACATATGGATGCCGATGCCGGTGAAGGGCTTCAAATTTAGACCTATACTCGGCACTCAGGTCCATTGAGCAGTGAGGGTTCTTTATCGTGCCAACGCCTACCGTGACACGGGACCTTGGTTTTTAAGGTCATATCCGAAAGACCCGTGACTTTCACTTCTAGTGCCGAGCGCTTGGCGAAGGAACAGTCACTACCTATGTTTACGTCTTAAGTATGACGCGGCGCCGCGATCGAGAATCGAACCCGGGCCTCCCGATCACGAAGCAAACGCTCTACCACTAGGCTACCGTGACCGGTCATTTGATGTAAGAAAAAAGGATGATTGTTCTAACAAAATGATTTCAATTTGTACAAAATTTTAATGTAACGTCAGGCAGATTGATACGTTTTTGACGTAAGTCATTGTAACGTAGGCAACCCATTTTATACGATATAAAGTAAATTTTTTATCCAATCAAATACAGCGTTACAACCAGAATTAAATTATTTAAGCATTGAATTCATATTTTGGTGTGTTATAGGACCGAAGACATCCCAAAATATGAATTAAATACTTATATTTACATTCTTTAATTTTTCCTCTTCAAAATTGTTTATTTCGGTAATCCTTGATGTGAATTTAACCCCCTTCAAAAGTCGTGTGCTTTATAGACAAATTAATATTAAATGCACATTAGTTGTATTTTACGTTAATTCAACTGGGCTAATTTTTAAAAATTAAATTGTGTCAAACAATGTACATTTTGGTGTTCATAAAATATTGAAAATGCATCTATAGTTCCTACTGTGTATTCTAAGGCGAGGTGACAAAGTTTCGCGTGTGTTATAGAGATTTGAACGTCATGGATTTCTCATGAATTTCATAAAGAAAGTTACACTGAATGTAAATATCTAAGCATTGAATTCATATTTTTGGCTGTCTTCGGTCCTATAACACACCTGGCCGTGCCGACAAATTGAATACCACGCGTTAGCGCGGTATGATAAATTTGTCGGCACGGCCAGGTGTGTTATAGGACAGAAGACAGCCAAAAATATGAAATCAATGCTTATATTTACATTCTCTAATTTCCCTTTGTCATAATTGCTTATTTCTTTAATCTTTAATGTGAATTTAGCGCCCTTCAAAACTGACGTGGTTAATAGACGTAAGAGCCGTTTGTGACGTCAGATGACGTTGTAAAGTTAAATAACGCAAACATTGCGAGGAAAAAAAATGACAAATTAATTTTAAACGCACATTTGTAGTATTTTTACATTAATTTAACAGGATTATAGTTTTTAATTAAATTGAGTCAAAACATTGTACATTTTGGTGTTCCTAGAATATAAAAAATGCATATAGTCCCTAGTGTGTATTCTAACGCGAGGTGACAAGGTTTCGCGTGTGTTATTTAAGGAATGTTTTTTAGTTTTGTGTGAGTTATTCGTGTGTGAATCACACAGACTTGTCACGTAAGCATATTTCATGAAGCGCGCTAGCGCTTCATGAAAAATATGCCTATGTGCAAGTCTGTGTGATTCACACACCAATAATTCACACTAAACTGAAAAACATTCCTTATATTTACATTTTAACGTTTTGAGGCAACTAAAATATACTCAATATTTGAATTTCTCGCTGTCCTATATTATTGCATTTTACTAACGTCGCTGCAGTCTCATTGTGACGTCATGTTAACGCACGTTTCTCCGTGTATATTTCTACGCGTGAGTATACACGAAAATGTTTTTCAAATCAATTTCACAGTAAGCTTACTAGAAAAACGCAGCGAATGTAAATATAGAAATTTGAATGTCATGGATTTCTAATGATTTCCATAAGGAAAAATACACGGAATGTAAATATTAAGTTTTTAAAAGTAATGTCAAGCGGAGTAATACTTTTTTGACGTAACTCATTGTGACGTAGATAAGTCATGTTATACAAAATGAATAAAATCTTTTTTTCCAATCAAATGACGTGTTACAAGTTAAATTAAATTATAAATTGATATAGGGACAGCGCCATTTTATATATAAAGTGAACCTATCTCTTTGATGATACTTTTCCCCCTAACTTAACAGCTTCAATAAAAATTGCAGATAATAAAGCATTCCGAAATTCATGGAATTCAATTCAAAATTGGTTTTAAAGCTAGATGACTTACAATTTCTAAAATTAAAGAAACCTGTAGGCACCTTTCATTTATTACATCTCGACCCTAGACTATCTTATGTGATGATATTAGACAACTTATTGTGATAATGTTAATGACATGCAACTATTTTGAAGAAATACAAAAATTCTAAGAAATCTTCAGTTCCCAACTAAAAAGAATATCTTAATGAAATGTGCCTGAGTCAAAGATGTTTTGTAAATTGTGTTTAAATTTTGTAATGTCTACAACTGTATCATGAAATGATATGCATTCCTTTTCATAATTACTTGGTCGCCCGCGAGGCGCAGTGGTTAGAGCGTCTGCTCTAGAGTAAGGAGTCAACCCTTACGTCGCGGGTTGGAATCCCACTGCGGGACGTGGAGACCGGTCCTTAGGATGAGACCGTATAAACCGAGGCCCCGTGTCGCAGTAGGTGCTGGTACGAAAAAGATCCCTCACTGCTCAAAGGCCCTGAGTGCCGAGCATAGGACAAAATTTGTAGCCCTCCACCGGCAAGTGGTGGCGTCTCCATATGAGTGAAAAATTCTCGAGAGGGACGTTTAACAACATACAATCAATCAATCAATCATAATTATTTGCTCATGTTTATTATAATGGATTGTGTTTTATTACAATTTTTCTATCAAAAATGATCTTTTTAAATAAAGGAAAATACAATTTTTGATACATATTCAAATTATAAATCTGAACGTAACCCCAAACAGTCATATGGTAATTTAATCCCGTGTAAATGCAAAAAGGTCAAGAAAATAACATTGATTTATAAAGTACCCATCTCTCATTCGTTTACTGTGAAAGGTATATATTTTAATCAATTCATGTACTCGTTTGGGTAGGTTCTTCAACATATATTAAGGATTGAAAACATTCTGACAAAGACCTCAGAAAAATATCTACAGATTTAGGGTGGAAAATTGACTTTAAAAATAGAGTTTAATTGCCATTATTTTTTCAATGTGGACTACATAAAAAAAATTATTTTTGAGTAAAATAGCTAGAAATACTGTTCAGTTAATAAAGTCTATAAATGACGATATTTAAAGAAGTATTTGTGTTATTTTTTACATTCATGACAAGTATCCATAAAAATGGGAGACATTGTGTTGTTGCAACATATGTATTTACATA